GGTGTGACGTTGGGCATGAGGAAATTGTGGTGCTCTTTATTGTGGCTTAGCGCCGGGCGTGAGGTATGACACTAGGCGCGGAGAGATTGTGGTGCTCTTTGTTATGGCTTAGCGTCGGGCGTGAGGTGTGACACCGAGCATGAGGAAATTGTGGTGCTCTTTGTTGTGGCTTAGCGCCGAGCGTGAGGTGTGACGTCAGGCACGAAGAGATTATGGTGCTCTATGTTGTAACTTAAAGTCGAGCGTGGGTTTTCAAGCCTAGCGTGGATTATCAGGAGGTTTATTATGATGTTTTAAATAACGTTTTTATGATGTTTTATGATTGTTTATTTGATGATGAATGTATATACATACCTTATGAATGATGATTATTACCATGATGGATGAACTTGATGTGGATGGATATAGATGTCGGCGAATGATGAACTAGATGATGATCATAATGTATTAATATAGTGATTTGATGATCGAATGTTTTATAATAATTAATTGAGTTTTCTATAGAAAATGATTAAAACTCTAAAAAGAGAAATTTGATGAAATTAAGGAATAAAAGTTGTAGACACTAAATTGATGAATTTCCTGGATGCAAAACGAATTTCTGGTTGATATAAATTGGATGAATGATTTGGGTGATGTTTGTTTCAAGATCTTGTTTTGTATTGATGTGTTTGGGTGCTAGGACGCACACGGTGTTAGGCTTGGATGCTTAACGCCAGGCATGCCTTCATGTGTATGAAGGCACTGCCTAGACATGCTGGTTATGCACATGGAAATGTGGATGCCGAGCGCGAGAAAACTGTGGTGCTCTCTATTGTGGCTTAGCGCTAGACGTGAGGTGTGACGTTGGGCATGAGGAAATTGTGGTGCTCTTTATTGTGGCTTAGCGCCGGGCGTGAGGTATGACACTAGGCGCGGAGAGATTGTGGTGCTCTTTGTTATGGCTTAGCGTCGGGCGTGAGGTGTGACACCGAGCATGAGGAAATTGTGGTGCTCTTTGTTGTGGCTTAGCGCCGAGCGTGAGGTGTGACGTCAGGCACGAAGAGATTATGGTGCTCTATGTTGTAACTTAAAGTCGAGCGTGGGTTTTCAAGCCTAGCGTGGATTATCAGGAGGTTTATTATGATGTTTTAAATAACGTTTTTATGATGTTTTATGATTGTTTATTTGATGATGAATGTATATACATACCTTATGAATGATGATTATTACCATGATGGATGAACTTGATGTGGATGGATATAGATGTCGGCGAATGATGAACTAGATGATGATCATAATGTATTAATATAGAAGCATTGGCATGGTTGTGACATGCATTATACTTGTATGATTTTGTGGTTTCTATGGGAATTTATTTCTGTGGTTCTAGTGGGAACTTTTTGGTGTTCTGGTGGAGCACTTCTGTGTTGGTAGCCTAAGGCTAGCTCGGGACTCAGGTACCCACTGTATCTTCTTGATGATGATGGTCGGGGATCCCCTGCCTTTAGATGTAGGTGCACATCGCCTTGCATTTCTGTATGTGTGCTTGTGAATGGAATGGTTGTTGTTTGTAAGTGGAATTGAAGTACGAATTGTTGTTATTATAGTTGAAGTATGAATTTTTGTTAATATATTTCAAAGTAGTAATTGTTATTGATATGTTGTTTATCGTGAAGGGACGAGATGTCGAGGGTTGCAACCCATTCCTTATAGAGTGGGATTGTTCTCACTTCCTGTCTACTTTTGGTGTGTCTCTTATGTATTTTGTAGATGAGAATCCTTAGTCTTAGGAGGAATAGGGAGAGATCTAGGTGTAGTTGTGAAGACTCTAATTCCAATGTGACACCAGGGCTTGGAATTAGTTTAAGAATTGTGTTATCTCTTTGATTTTAATATAGTACATTTGAGTTGTAATTTGATTTATATTAATTTGTTGTTTATTCTTTCGATGAACTGGATTATTTAATTATAAGCTTAAATGAGGATGAGTTGAGACATTATTAACTATTTTTATGTAATTAATTGGTACTCATTCTTGTGGGTAGATGAGTGTCACATGGCTTATTCACCAACTTGATGTGAATAATGCTTTCGTTCATGGTGAACTTTAAGAGGATGTTTATATGGATGTTCCTAAAAGGACACAAGGTGTGCATTCAGCAAATGTTTGTAAGCTTTTCAAGTCCCTCTGTGGCTTAAAACAATCTAGGAGGAAATGGTATGAAAGACTAACTTCTCTCTTGCTTTAGTTTGGATATTCTTAGGAAACCTCAGATTACTCAATTTTCATCGAAAGTGATGCTCCATCTTTCACGGTTCTATTGGTTTATGTTGATGACATAATTCTAGCTAGGAACTCTTTAGAGGAACTTACTATTATTAAATCAATCTTAAATGATCACTTTGGAATTCAGAACTTGGGGACATTGAAGTTTTTTTTAGGATTAGAGGTTGCACATTCTCCTAGAGGCATTTCTCACTACTGAAGGCAATATTGCTTGGATTTGTTGAATGATATTGGGACCATTGGATGTAAACATGAAAATACACCTATTGACCCATCAATGAGACTTCATCATGATGGTGGTGTCTCAAATGAACATTCTAGGATATTGTAGGCTTATAGGAAGATCGTAATATCTCACCACTACTTGGCTAGATGTACCCTTTATAGTCCAACAACTTAGCCATTTCTTGGCTAATGTCACTGCTCAACATTATAAGGCAACTCATAGGGTCTTGCAATATCTAAAGGGAGCACCTGGCAAAGGGATTTTATTCCCTCAAACTTCAGCTCTCCAGTCGAAGGGATTTGTAGATGTCTACTGAAGAGATTGTCTGAATAGTAGAAGATCTATCATGAGGTATTGTTTCTTCTTAGGTGATTCTTTAGTGTGTTGGAAATCCAAGAAGTGACAAACTATTACTCGATCATCCTTTGAATTAGAATACAAAGCATTGGTAGCAACCAATTGTGAATTGCAATGGTTGTCCTACCTTATGCAAGATTTACAAGTGAGTTGTTCTAGGCAACCAATCTTATACTATGACGATCAAAATGCTTTACATATAGTTGACAATATGGTGTTCCATGAAAGAACAAAACACCTAAAAATTGATTGTCATGTAATTAGAGAGAAAGAGGAGTGTAATGTTGGTCTTATTAGATTGTTATCATTATTTAGTTCAACTTAAATTGTAAACCTCCTCACTAAAGCACTCTATATTATCTAATTCCAATAACTTTTTCACAAGATATATACCAACCTAAGTTTGACGGGGTCATCAAGAAATAAAATTTCATGTAATTAGTTATTAGTGTAATACATGTGTGAAGTATGGTGGTGTTTTATGCATGGAATGGTATTTTCTTTGCTTAGTTTGTTATGTTGAGTTATCTAGAAGTGGTTAGTATTTTCCTTTGGTATTTGTTATGGTGCTAGTTTGTTTGAGAGGGTTTGGGTGCCCCTTTGGTCATCAACAAATCACATATTGACACCTGTGTTGAACAAGGTTAGTCATGGTCAGCTCTTACAAAATTAGTCAAGGGATATTTTTGGAAATTCATTTTAGATTTAACATATTTTGTATTTGACTTAGCTAGTCCATCGACTTCACCATTGTCGACTTCAACTCCCTCCTCTACGCTTTCATCTGCGTCCTCGGCCTCGTCGCTGTTACGTGTTGTGGCTGTCTGTTAGAAAAGAATGGCTCAATCCAAGAGGGGGGTGAATTGGATTCTATGACACTTAAAAAAATTATCAAAGTTTTAAGGATCTTTATTTCAACTTAAACTTTTCTAATATGAATTCTCAAAGAAGTTTCTTGAAAGACTTGCCAATGGGAATGAGTCCTATATGCTTTCTTGATTAATCTTGATTAATCTTGATTAATCTTGATTAAGTTTAGTTTTAAGAACAACTAATATGCAATACTTTGATTCAGTTTAAAGCAATGTTAAGCATACAAGCATGTTAATCAAGACCAGCCATGTTATCACTCAATTAAGATTTTGCTCAATGTAAGAGATAAGGGTGAGAGAAGAATGCACAAGTATTTTATCCTGGTTCAGTCACTCCACATGTCAGCTACATCCAGTCCTCAATCATAACCTGATCAAGATTTGTTCCACTATCTTAATGAAGAAGTTTTACAAGCATACCACATATGCATATAGTCCTACATTCAAGATAACCACTTTCTTGCCCCCAAGAAAGCACTTCTTGTAAAAACTCACTACAAGAATTCCTTACCACTTGAGACACCTACTCAAAATTTCCCTTACACATTACACAGAGAATTAAAGGAACGAATTCACCTGGAAGCTGAACAAACCTGACTATGAATTCCAAACAAATCTTAATCTTTCTCTCCCAAAAATGTAGTGATGATGATGATCTCTTTCAAAGCTTTTCGCAAAATGTTTCTCTTCTTGGTTTCACAAAGAAAACACTCCAAGAAGGTCACAAAGACTTCACACTATTAGTTTTTCTCTCTTTTGTTTTTAGTTCATCTCACTTCTTAAGTTTCAAAGTGTGAAAGCTATTAATAAACTTTTCAGACACAGATAATCGATTATTTTGTTCTTTATGATTTCTGGAAACCACTCAAGAACAGAATAATCGATTATTTCACAAATAATCGATTATTACAGCAAGGCTCTTTTCACCTATTGTTGGAATAATCAATTACACTTAATGATAATCGATTATTTTGAGTTAGCTTTCAAAAACTCAATTTTATACTTCAAAAATCTTTCCAAGTATTTTAAATCATCATCACACTTACTCTCAGTCAATTTAGATTAAGATTAACTCATGCACAAAACATACACATGCAAAAACTAATCAAAACAATACAACACATAAGAACTCATAAGCTACTTCTATTACACATCATGATATTCATATCTTCCTTTCTTGACTAGTTTGTGTCCTTGGTCAACTTCAACCCTCAGAATCCATCCTTTGTTATCATCAAAACTCTCATACTCCAGGGCTGAGTTGATTCACTACTCCATGAATCTCAACACTGTCTTCGTCACCTCCACCTCTCTAGGATCGTCGTCCCTAGTCTCCTCCCGCCACTGCAACAAAGGCGTTAAGAAGGAGGTCATGTGCTCCTCCCCCAAGCTCACTTCCACGACCGAATCCATGGTCAAGTTCATCAACTATGCCATCTGCCTCACGGAATTTGTCATTAGAGACAAAATCCAAGTGCTGCCTCAGTGTGGACATGGATTCCATGTGGCCTACACATTGAAGCTTGGCTCAAATCGCATTCCTCTTATCCTTCCTACCGTTAGATTCTCATTGTTTCCCGCTACGACAAGTGCGGTGGGATCCCTGCTCCAGCAACCACCAGCTCCACCTCTACATCGGAATTCGAGGCCAGATGTGTACCTTAACACCCACTATTCCAAATCTCACGATCCATACCATAGCCAAACGAAGCTATAGTATGTTCATTTCATTTCATTCAAATTTTGGAATTGGAATCATCTTTGTTAGTTATTGCTCCCATTGCCATGGATCCCTACCCAGGAACCTTCCCCATCCTCTCTCCTACGTCATATCTTGTCTCCCATCCTTTGGCCCCTGAACCCCCCATCCGCCTCAACCTCCATCACTACCACCATCGTCACCGTCACCGTCATTGCCACCTTTTCCCATTCCCATTTTGACATCGAACAACCACAACTTCTCATCATTTCATCAAATAAAAAAATATGTTAAATCCAAAATAAAATTTCAAAAAATATCCCTTAACTATATCTATAAGAGCTGAATATGACTCATCTTATTCAAGACAAGTGTCAATATATAATTTGTTAATAATAAAGGAGCACCAAAACACTCCAAAACAAACAGACACCTGGCTTAAGTACGTACTACTATTCATAGAATATATTGCATCTTTCCTAACCTTTGTATATCTCTCTCTTCATAATACGAATAGAAACAGTATTCAGAAATACTTTTTCATATTTCCTCTGTACCATGTTTTCGTATGAATCTTACTACTTAGATCTCTAAATTAAAATCGAAAATAAATAAACAAAATAAGGTACAGTCTCTTTCCCGAGTCTTAATCCTTGGATCTATAATAACTCAAGTGCTGATGTTGCAGCCTGCATTCTGAGACTCGTAGCTGTTCCATGGTGCAACACAACATAGCACTACACGATTGTATCGAACAGGTTTCACTTGATTAATCCTAACCGTTAAATTATATCCAACGATTGTAAATCAATGGGACCATATGGTGGACCCAAGTTCATGCATGAGCATATTATCAATTACCAACGCTTTTAATAATAAGCCTACAATTGTGTTCAAAGAGAGTTGCAGTGCAACTTTTGTCCACAACTCAATCCAATAATTGCCCTCCAAAATATCCATCTCTAGTCACAATATCTTGCTTTTCTTCATACAAAGAGTAAATATTCATTTTATTCATAAAGGGTCACCTTCTATAATATATACTACTATAAATTACCTTAATTAAAGGATTAAATTAATATAAATAGTGTTTTCAATAAGCTAAATTAGAAAACTTTAATATATATTTCATTTAATTAAACTTGAAATGCTTTTAGTTTTGTCATATATTTTAAATTAATCCTTTCCAAAGAAAAATATGTTAAGAGTCAAAAACGTTATAATTTTCAAAATAGAGGAAGTTCTTGCCCTCCCTTCCACAAGTTTCCCCCACTCAATATCGACGATCGACATCTTTTGTCACCTTTGATATATATATGAAGAGAAATAATGCCCTAACCTATAGTATGTTTTTTACTGTGAAAACTAAATTTTGTACTTTATATAAAGACATGATATCAAAACGACAAAACCCAAAAGTTGCTTATTGTGCAAGAATTTGTATGATTGTGACACTCGTGTCTATCTTTTTATTGTGGAGACCAAATTTACACTCCAAAAATACGCACCACATCAACACTTAAATATTCTATTAATTGGTCTTCCAAAATATACATTAAATTGACAAAATATTAAGTTGATTTAATTTTTAAACTGATGCTTATTAATTTTATGTTATGAAGGGGAAGGACAATGTGGATGTATTAAAGTCGTAAAGAACTTTTTTTTTATTTTTTTAAGAACCAAATTAATTTCCTGAATATTTTTAGAAGACAAATTCAATTTTTTTGAAAAAAATTTAATAGAAGTACCAGAAAAAAAATTTAAAAAGGAAATAAAGAACATGGCGAATTTGGGAAAAGGGTAAGAGTTATGGGGACCATATAATAAATCTGAGTACGAAAATGGAACCTGGAATAATGATAGTAGGGGTGTCTAAGTCTAACTTGTTGCTAGTCTCCCCATAACTTCGAGGTGGAGTGGATTTTTCAATCTGATTTTGAGTTGAGTAGAGTTGATTGATTAGTCAATTTTATTAATTAAATATTATTTATCTATTTATTTTATAATTTATGGTGTATGTAATTTTATATTGTGATATAATTTTTTTTATTACAAGACTATTACTATTTGTATTGTAATTTTTAAAAATTATTATAATTTTATATTATTAAAGGATTATTTGTTGTGATATTGATTGAATTTTTTTATGATTTATAATTTATTATTTTTATGTTGTAATTTTAAAATTAAAAGATAAATATATGTTATAAGTGCTCAATTAAATTCGTTAATTGTTATAAAATAAATTAAATTTATCGATTTGAATTAATAGTATATATATTAATCTTAACATAGCATAGTGAGGCGAACTAAAATTTTTAACTCCCTATCACAAGCAAGTCACCTAATTTTACTCCATTTTTTTACTGTCTGGCCGTTTTGTCACTTCTAATTAGGCCTGGGCAAAAACTTCCGGCCGATCCGAAACCGGCCAAACCGACGATCAGATCGGGTGAAGCGGATTAATTCTCAGGTATTTCGGATTTTTTCTGAAGCAAATTTCGGGTTCAAACGGGTTTTAACGGTCGGATTCGGTGTTAGAATTTTCTCATCCGATGCACCCGAATCCGACCGTTCGTCTTCACCGTTTATTTTCTCCGTCTCTTTTACTTCGTCTTCTTTCTTCTTCTTCTTCACTCCGTCTTCTTTCCTCTTCTTCTTCACTCCGTCTTCTTTCTTCTGCTTCTTTCTTCTTCTTCACAGTGTCTTCTTTCTTCTTCTTCTTCACTCCGTAAACATCCTCTTTTCTTCAACTTATTCCTGCCATGGCTACCGTCACTGAGAAGCTCCCTGTTCTGGTTGATGAAGGTGGTGATGTGGAGATCTGAAACTCCGTGATTTCCCCCAAATGAAGCAGTAACAGAGACCGGCAAAGAGTGACGAAGGATGGCGGCACGAGACGCTAGAGGAAGCTTCTCAAACCGATGAATCCATCCGATGAACCCGTAACCCGCACGGATTGAACCCGCTAAAACCCGAGTTCTTCGTCGGTCGGAAATGACTCCTGATTTTTCTTAATCGGTTTCGGATGATTTTAAGAATTTTGTTCCGAAACCGACCGTGGCCGACCGATGCTCAGGCCTACTTCTAATAATGATAACATCTAAAAAAAAATGTCTCATCCCAATCATAAATAGTAGAAAATTTATTATAACTAATCTTAATTTTATGTTAACTATCCTTGAATTATCTGATATATAATTAATGATTGAAATAAAGTGTGAATTTTTAAAAAGATTGGGTATTTAGGTGCACCAAAGTTGTTAGATGAAATGGAGCACCACATTGAAATTTAAATAATAAATAGATTTAGTTTAAGAATCATTTTAAACGATTTATTCATTTATTTTTCAAATTTGATAAAATTGATTTGTTTTTAAACTTTTTACACAGACCTATGTGAAATTGTATATTAAAAAAATTGAGACAAAGAATCGTCAGAATTTATGTTAAAATCACTCAGAGGCTATGTATATGAAATAACCTATTTTTAGAAAATAATGATTATTTAATTCAGTTTGATAATTGTTTAACCTCATTTATTTCTCTTTATTCTATTTCTTCCTTATTTATTTCCATACAGTCAAATAGAGTGTATATGTTCTGTACACAGTAGGAAAAACATGTGACGAGGAATAAATAAACATAATCTAAAGATACACAAATACTATAAAATATGGTCCCTTTCCCTTTTTCGTAAATTGGTCCCTTTCCTCTTTATCGTTGTATCTGCAACACAAGTTAACGTTGCATTTTAAAAGCCTCGTACTAGCTACTGTTCCGTGGTCCAACATGCAGGGTTAAAATCGCAGTTAGTCCACAGCAAAAAATTTAAAGAGTACAAGTAGACATCTCGATCTTTCATAAAAGAATATAAATATTCTTAAATTACACTAATTTACTTAATTAGAGACTAAAAATCATTAAAAAAAATTGTCATATAATAATACATATTCTATAGTTACTCACAATATGTATTATTAAAAATTAATTTTATTCATACAATAAATATAATATATATTAATTTATTTATTGTTAAAAAATATGAGTATAAATCATAGTGATATACAAAATATATTGTTAAATTTCATTCATAAAATTTATGGTACAAAAATTTGTGTCACTTCTATCCACCAGAACCCTCTTGTCTAGATATCTTTTATTGTGCAAACCAAATTGTTGCTCCAAAAATACGCATCACGTGATGCCTTTGTCTTGATATACATACGTATATGACAATTTTATTTTTAAACTCGTGCTTATTATATATTATGAAGTGGTCATATGGACATATATACTAAATTCTTAAAGAACCAAAGTGATGTCCTAAATATTTTCGAAAGATCAATTTAAAATTATTTCAATTAAAATTGAAAAAATAATAAAGGATGTATTTACCAATAAAGGAGCGAGGAAAAATATGTTTACGTGCCTATTTAATGTTGTCTTAGCTTAGATTAGAAGTGATTACGACTCGAATTGAATCGAATTTAAGCCATATTTTTATTAGTCAACTTTTGAATCTGGTTGATTCAGTTTTTTTTTTTTAGTTTTTAATTTGAACGGATCTAATTAAATTATACCTATATTAGCTGTTTCAATCAAATAATTGGATTTATTTTTAAAATAATGAAAAAATACACATTTTTTTGGTAGAATAATATTTTTTTTGGGTAGAAATGAAAAAAATACACATATATGACTTTACAAAGTGCAAATTCATAATACATATTCACTTTTATCCTTAAATTTAAAATATACTAACATAATAGTATCGGAAACTAAGAAAATAAAATATCAAATAAATTTTTAAAATGTCAAATAAGTCAATAATTTTAACAATCTATTATTTTTATTTTTCAATATATATTAAATTATCATTTTAGTCACTTTTTTTTATAAAAAAAAATTGAACTAATGTGATAATAAATTTTCACTTTAAAAAAATTCATTAGTTAGAGATTAATATGATGATATCTTTCAATTTCAATGATAAAAGTAGATATACTTACTAG